ATGGCGAATGAGCTATTAAGCCAAACGACTCTTATTAAAAAAAACACATTTAAATTGTTGTGCGTAATTTAAATAAAATCAAACACATTATGCTCTAAAAAGTAGATCACATTAACTTTTTAAACGTCTCGAAGAAATAAGTGTATTTTAAGACTGAATTCTTGTGTAAACTTTTGGCTGCAAAGCGCTCCTGCCTTGTATAAATTGCTTTCCCTCTTCCAATATAAACCTCCTTATTGTTGTGTTTCCAACCCGCACGGATAATCCGCGACGCCCGCGCAATGGATATCCTAATCTACCCGTATTTATCCACACAGTAAAAAATGCAAATCTCTGATAAAAAGTTAATCCTTTAATTAGTTTCACCCTAACAACACATAGCAACCGGTGTGCTCTAATATAGCTTAAATTTATTAACCTTATCCGAGCTTTAGTACTTTAAAAATGTAGCACAAAAATATAGAAATCGCTTGACAATTATATATCATGACCTCTATGGGGTAGTTTACATATAAATGCAGCTTATCTCGCAATGGAAACAGTACAGACTAAGATCTTAATCACTAATCAAATACATTACATGTAGTAGCTTGAAATAAACTAAAAATTGAAAATAAACAAACGGTACCGTAGCAGCTACAAATAAAAACTGTAGATAAACAAACGGCAACGAAGTAGGTAGCTGGAAAATGAAAACTGTAGATGAAGAAACACCAACGAAGCAGCCAGATATAAACCAAAAGCTATACTACAAACGATTAAACGGTATCGCAGTATCTAGAAATATAAACTGTAGATATAAAAGAAACGGCGGCGAAGTAGCTAGAAATATAAAACAAACGGCAACGAAAAAGCTAAAAATAAACTAAAAGCGATGCTACAAAGGCATCGCAGTGGCTAGAAATATGAAACAAACGGCGAGGAAGTAGTTGGAAATATAAACTGTCGATAAACAAACGGTAGCGAAGTAGCCAGAAATATAAAACAAATGGCAATGCAGCGCCCAGAAATAAACCAAAAGCCATACAACAAACGGTCAAATGGTATCGTAGCAGCTAGAAATAAAAACTGTAGATATAAAACAAACGATAGCGAAGTAGCCAGAAATATAAACTGTAGATAAACAAACGGCAGCAGTTCAAAAATACAAGTAAGCTCAAATAAATTCAAATGACCTGAATAAATTAAAATATTTAAGAATTAATGACGTCATGGGCGGTGCTAAGTGCACCGCCCGCACCGCCCGTCGTAGAACCCCCCTTCCCTATACTACTTAACTTCAGTTGAAAAAGTTATAGAGTTCAAATTTAAAAATATTAAAATTATGGTCAATTCATATGTGAAACCATCTGTGGAAAAAACGATTTCATAAATCTGTCCGTTTTACAACTATAGTTATTATAATAGCTTCCATAACGTGTATTATAGTTATGTTCAAGTTTAGGCGGTAAGAGGTCACCCAATTTGTCTCCATGTGCATTTTTAACAAAGAAACGTTCGCATAATAATCGCCGCCGATCTTTCAGTAAGGGTATACCAGTAATACTGCAAGCTTCTCTGTAAGTAGCGAATGGCAAGACAATACGCAGAGCCCGCTTCTGGAGTTTTTCGATATCTTAATTCACTTAGGTATTCTGTAATATTGAAGTGCCAAACTTGGCAGGCATATTCGAGTACTGGTCTGATAATGGTGCAGTATACCAAAATTAGAATGCTATTGTCGGCATTTGATCGTTTTAACAACCTTAGCATATAAAGGCGTTTTCCCGCTTTTTTAACAATATGGTTCACATGCTCGTTCCATTTCAAATCATCTTGAATTGAAAGACCAAGAATTCGGGCAGATTTTACCCGCTCAATACCAACGTTATTTATAGTTAACGGTAAGAACTCATGTTTTTCTCTTGCAAAGTCAATTACCATTTCAATCAATCAATATATATTTATTTCCTATGTGTATGTACAATAATAAGTAACAAATACTATGTGTAGTTTGAAAGTGTTGGGCTAGAGACCTACTGGAAACCTTTTCAGGCTTTTTAATGTAGGCCACTAGTTATGCTTAAAAAAAATTGCATATATATTTACAGTGAAGAGTAATTATTGAAGTAAGACCTAAAAGTATATACTATTTACAAAAGAAGGATATTATATCATAATATAGAGTTACAAGATTACACAATTTTCGCTATAGAATTAACGGTTGCTGTATATCTGTGGTCATTGCATATAAGTTGAAGAAGATCTAGCTCACTATAACATGTTGTTTGATTAATCTTTTGTAGACATTGTAAGAGTTTAATCTTTTGAATTTTGTATCTAATGTATTCCATAGATTAACCCCTGTGTTAGAAAGAGTATGTATGACATAATTAGTTCTTTTACAACACTTGTGTAGTTTTGTTGCATTTCTTGTATTGTAGTTATGAATTTCATTGTTTGTTATAAAATAATTTTCAAATGCTTCTGGTAAATTTTTAAGATAGGCCTAATAGTATCGATACATAAGCAAAGCAGTTAGGTAATCATTTATTTTGAAAATATCTAAAATGCGTAATTCTTTGAATATTATTTGATCTAAAAGTTATCAAACGCATAATTTTTTTTTGAATATTCAATATTTTTTGAATTCGGGTTTTGTAGGTATTACCCCAAATCAAGTTGCCATAAATAAGATATGGATACACTAATGTGTAATAAATTAGCTTCAGTGAATTTCTGTTTATCAAGTGTCTTATTTTTGCTATTATTCCCGAGGCTCTTGTGATTTTTTTTGATACGTCAGTCATATGGTTATTCCAAGTCAAATACTCATCAATTGTTATACCAAGAAAGGTTGTGCATTTGACATGTTCTATGTTTACATTATTTACGCTAACTTTTACATTTTGTTTTAATTTCTTATTTGTAGATCTGAATATAATATATTTGGTTTTTTTAATATTTAGAGATAGTTTATTTGCATTTAACCATTCTGCAACTTTATTCACCTCTTCTTGTATGACCTTATTTAGTGATTTGAGACAGCTGTTGCTATAAAAGATATTAATATCATCTGCAAACTGTATAAACGAAAGTAAATTGCTGCTATGTTCAATATCATTTATATAAAGTAAAAATAAAATAGGTTCAAGAATTGAACCCTGTGGGACACCTGTTTTAATTGTCATTTCTTCTGACCTAGTTTGATTGTACTTGACAATTTGTTTTCTGTTTGTTAAATAATTGTCAAACCATAGTTGAGTAACTCCACGTATGCCGTAATGTTCTAATTTTTGGGCCAGAATCTTGTGATTAATAGTATCAAATGCTTTTGACAAATCAAGGAATATACCTATTGTATAAAATAATAACATTTAATATCCATCTTTGGTTAAAAAAGTACAATGGATTTACAAGAAGTGCTAAGGTTAAAATTGATAAGAAGAAATTTTACTATTATTTACATCAATGTTGCTAAAAATGTTTATACTAGTTATATATTCTATAAAATTAATTTAGGACTGTTTTAAAAGGGATATAGCTCTAGGTATAAAGGATTGCCGGTGTCTTTTAGTATACGATACATCATATGGTAGATTATTTGTTGTTCTTAGATCGTGTTCATGGGTAAAAGGTTGGGGGATAAGTTTATTACATGGGTTGGTCGGATCATTTAGAATTCTTTGGTATTCCTTAACAGTTAGGTGTGCCCTTCTTTGTTCTAGCGTTTCAAAGTTGCACCGAGATGTGCCAAGGATTTTGATGCATCTGTTTTGAATGCTCTCTATTTCATCAATGAGATATTGTGGTAAACCACCCCATATCGGAGCTGCATATTCAAAAACAGGTCTAATCTTGGATTCATAACTTCTCCTTTATCAATCGCTTTAGTAATTCTATCGGTAAGTTCAATGACTGCAAGCTCAGTAGATCTATTTTCTCTGAAACCATATTGGTGCTTGCTTAATATTTTACTTTTTTCTATAAATTTAATTAATCTCCTATACATGTCTTTTTCCAATAATTTTGCAAAACAAGTAAGAACAGATATTGGTCTATAATTTTGAATTCATTTTTTTCATTTGCTTTATAAATTGGAGTAACTAGAGCTATTTTTAATTTATCTGGAATAGTTCCGCTTAGAAAGGTTAAGTTGAATATGTGTGAAAGAGGTTCAGAGATTTCGTTAGCAATTTTCTTGATGACTTGTAAGCTTATGCCATCATAACCTGGACTTTTTTAGCATTTAAATTTCTTATGTCAATTTCTAATTCATGTTTTGTGATTGGTTCAAGAAAAAAGCTTTCTTAATTTATTGTTATTAGATAAATAATCTTTGAAGGACCTTTCACTACTTGGAAGTTTTCTTGCTATTCCTGGTCTAACATCCACAAAATAATCATTGAACTTATTCGCTATCGTGTGTGGATCACTTATAATGTCTTCAGGGCTATTTCCAATAAATTCTTTGAGGAGTGTTTTGATAGTCTTGCGTTTATTCATTATCTCATTTAGTGTTTTCCATAGTAATTTTGTGTCATGCTTGTAGTTTATCAGTTGTTCTTCATAAAATTTTTTCTTTGTTATTTTTATGATATGATTCAATTTGTTTTTATATTGTTTGTATTTACTTTCATTGCTCGCTGAAAGATGAGCTTGTTCTTTTTATTAATTGAAGTAGCAATGCAATTTGTTATCCATGGACTTCTAGTTTTGTCAATTTTCCTTTTTTTCATCTTTTTGGCTAAGGGAAAGTTTTTTTCGTATTCTGTTGAGAATAAATCGAAAAAAGAATTATAAGAGTCTATAGTGTTGTTGTTCGAAAGTACATTTTCCCATGAAATAGTTTTCATTATATCAGAAAATGATTGAATATTGCAATCATTGATAATTCTTTTATAAATAACTTCATTTGTTGGAATAGTATATTGTAGCATTTGAGATTTACGTACATGAATTATTGGTAAGTGATCAGAAATGTCAGAGAAAATTATTCCATTTATACTGGACTCTATGGAGTCAATATCATTGGTAAAAATATTATCAATAAGTGTTGCTGTATGTTGTGTGATTCTTGTTGGTTTTAGTATTAGCGGAATGTATGATGATGTAAATAGTACCTCAAGAAATTTATTGGTATAATCACAAGATTCTGATTTTAGTAGATCGATGTTGAAATCACCCATTAAATAGCATATTTTGTTTTCTTTGTCAATTTTACTAAGCAATTGGTTAAATTTCGTTTCGAATAAATCAATATTACTGTTTGGTGGCCTGTATATTACACCTATTATCATATTTTTGCCAATAGTTGTTGCAATTTCAATGAACACAGATTCAATAATACTTTCGCGTCAGTTAAATTTAAATCAGTGCGTACTTTATACTCTATTTCGTTTATTATATAAATTCCTACACCGCCACCGTTTTTACTTTGTCTATTTACGTTTATAAAGTCATAATTTTCTAGTTTATAAAGATCCTTGTTATTATCATTTAACCATGTCTCAGTTAGGCCAATTATCTGAAAAGGTATGTTTAACGAATCTATTAATTGTTTGAAACCGTCAAACTTATTAGCTATAAACATTCAAAGACCTTATTATTAGCTATACTTCTAGTGTTTAGATGTATTATTGAAAGGTTTATATTATTATTGCTTACTTAGCCTGCGAACAGGCTGTCAAGCTGAATTGAGAGCCTGCATCGATGACTAATGAATTTGAATATCTGCCCCGTAACGTTCGTTTTTCCAAATATGGAATGTCTATCCTTATATGGTGTTGTTTACAACTTTCGTGCAAACTAAATTTAGACCATGCAAACTAAATTTAGACCGTACAGTTTATACTGTTTTTCGAAATATAAGATATTGAAGCAAAAGTTTAAATGTTTTAAATACTGTTTTCTCAAAACAGAACATTTCGTGCTTTGAGATAAGATGGCCAAGACCAATTTGATCAGTTAATGTGTTTTTTATGCATAGTGCTAGCAGTTGACATATATAGAGCTCAGCGGAATAATATAAATTATAGCATCTGACCAATGAGAATTTCGCGTCACGATTTGAGACGCAGATATTCAAATTCATTAGTCATCGATGCAGGCTCTCAATTCAGCTTGAGAGCCTGTTCGCAGGCTATTGCTTACTTTATTTAGTTGTTTATTGAAATCACTTTGTAGATAATACTCACAATCTATTTTAGACGAGTTTTCTAGATTTGTGTTGTTTTCAGATAACGCAATGTCACTACTTGCATCATAAGGGTTGAACTTTAGATTATTTAGCCTATCCATATCTTTTTCACTGACATTATTTCCATTTAGAACAGTGAATTGATATTCTAAATCATCAAGCGTTTGAAATGGTAAAATATTATTTAGGCATTTTTGGCAAGTATCTAATGTGTTTCCTGTGATAGTGTTAAGTGACTTTACGCATGAAGTCACAGCATGAAACTGTTTGCGACAAGTCAGACATTCAATTGATTTTTGTGTTTTTCCAATTATTTTGAGGCATGAAGTGCAATTTGTTTTTTGTTTATTTTTGAGAGTAGCCATTTCAGATGTTTTAGTTAACCATATGCGAAGTCGTGAATAGTAGGTATTAAAAAGTATAAATATTATAGTAATTCAAGAGAGTGTCAAATTTCAATATCTACTATTATATCTATTAAAAACTTGACCTTCAATAATGAGTTTATCTCGAACAATTTTTGCTCTTTTACCTTCTAATTTTGCTTTCTTTAGTTCGGGATATAAGGTTTTACGGATGTTTTCAATTTCTTCGGGAAACTGCTCGGATATTCCTATTCTTGTTCCTCTCAGCTTTTTTGCATTGAGTTGCACAAATTCCCGGTCTTGATGATAATTGAATTTGACCACTATTGGTCTTGGCTTTCGATCTCCGTCTCTCTTTCTGCCAATTCTGTGTCATCGATCAATCTTTACTGTATTGCGCGCGTCGGTTATTCCTATCTTTGATTCCAATAGTTCGTGAATCATTTCAGTAGTATTTTCCTTTTCCGATTCAGACATGTTAAAGAAAAGTAAACTGTCGCGCATTGATCTATCGGCCTAGCTTGAATGCCAATTATTTTATCGCGCAATGTCTTATTATCGCGTTCTAAAATTTCAATTTTTTCCTTGGCTTCTGCTTGATTTTCTTTGCTGTATTCATTTTCTTTCTTTACGTCCGCGATTTCAGCGTGCGCGTACTCTAAGGACTCTTTAATTTCAGCCATATTTATCTCCATATTGTTAAGCTTCGTTTCAATGCTGTCAAACTTCTCCAGTTTCTTCATCATCATAGCGAACATATCGTGAATTTCACTCATTTCATTGCTTTGACCTTCTTGTTCTTCTTTTGTTTTTGACTCAGGCGTGTTAGATTTTTGATTCTTCGTTTTCACTGTTTTATTTGGCGCACTTGGGTTCGAAATATTAGAATTTTGCGCAGAGCGCTTGGAGGCGTGTTGTCTTGTCGCCATCTTTGACAGATCTCATTTCCTTACATTTACCGATGTTGAGCTTCATATTATTAACTTCACACCAATTATAGATAACATTCGCTAGATCTTGCAGTTCACTACCCTCAGTTGATGTAACTCGTTCAGCAAACGTACTGTCATCAACATACTTCCATCTATCGCTCCAATCAATAAGAAGATCATTTATCATAACAAGGAACAAAGCCGGCCCTAACACCGACACTTGCGGCACTCCACCGTTTAACGTTTGCCAGTCCGAATGACAGTTAGCCAACTTGGCTCGTTGTTTACGATCAGAGAGAAAACTTCTAATCCAATTTATAATGGTTTGGGAAACACTCATTTGTTGTAGCTTATTGACCAGTATGTTGTGATCTATTCGATCAAAAACTTTTTCAAAATCAAGCAAGTATACTCTCACCGCATTGCTTGAAGCATCTGTAGCACTCAGGAGGTGATGGGCCAGGCTCAGTAGGGCATGAGTAGCCGAGGATTTTTTAACGGAGCCAAACTGCCGCGTATCAATCTTTGCACCAATTGACTTAAGTAACCAGGCTGTAACAAACCGTTCGCAAATTTTGGATAAAGTGGTGGTAAGTGAGATAGGGCGCAAATCTTTAGAAATGTCTTTAGGGACTGATTTGGAAAAATTAAACGAGACTTACCTGTAAGGTGAAGTTTGATGGAGATTCTACGAAGTCATTGGTCTGGAGCTAAGGAGTCAGGTGAGAGCGCGCGCGATCCACGAGGTTCACTCTTCAAAGATACTAAGTGATTATATCTAATCCTGGGATGGGAAGATTATGCTAGAACTAATGCCTAACGAAGGGTGGGCACCTGAATACTTAGCTCCAGACCAATGACTTCGTAGAATCTCCATCAAACTTCACCTTACAGGTAAGTCTCGTTTAATTTTTCAATTCTACTTCATCATTGGTCTCAGTCGCTAAGGAGTCACGTGAGACTTCAAAGCAAAATGATCACTACTAAACTAATAATAAAAACAGTAATGATTTCAAAACTAACATAGACATGCCAAATATGAAATAGCTAAGCGAGTCCAACAACTCCTTGCCATAATTTAAGTTATTCTCAACAGGCAATTTGTAAAATTTTTGAAAAGTTTTATCTGAGTGCCATCCAGCAGACTTCATCAGTTATTGTGTCCAGTGGAATCTGCTTGTTCGAAGCAGCCGACGTAGATGCAGACCTGGTGCTGTGAGTGGAAAAAACGTCTGTATTAACACCAGCATTTGTCAAGGTTGTCTTGATCCATCTGCTAACTGTATCCACATGAACTGGACCGTAAGGTTTCTGGTGACTTACAAGAAGGTGATCGATGCCCTGCCTCAGAGTCTGTGTTCGTTTAACGTACTCAAGTAAATATTTAACAATACACAAACTAGGGTCTGGTGTATAGGACAGGAATTCCAGGTGGCTTAAGTGCCTACCAGGTTTGGAGGTCTTTAACAATTTATCTAACACAAAAATACATTTATCAGGGCTCAGTTGCATACAACTGACTTTTAGCGCATGTAACGTCTGTCGACGTTGTCCTGATAGCAAAGCTAACAACGTTACAACTTTAAGTGTTAATCCTTTTTGACTCAGTTTATCAGCAGGATGCATCTTTCCAAGATACTTCAGCACAACTGCAATGTCCCAAGTTGCATTATACCGTGGGAAAGAAGGTCGGTTTTCGAAAACACCTTTCATAAACCTGCGGACCAATGGATGCCTGCCAAATAGCAAACCATCAGGGAGAATGACATATGAAGAAAGTTCACTACGTGCTGCATTAAGCGCACTATAACCAATGCCAGTGTTGTATAGTTCTGCCAGATAATTCACCCCAGCTTCTATATGTGCTGAAATTGAATCAATTTGTCTTTCGCTACAGTATAACTGCCATCGTTTAATGTAGGGGTTGTATTGCTTGCGAGTGCTTTCTCTCCAAGATTGCAGGACCAGTTCGGCAGCCTGCTTTGAAAGTCCACGGTCTTTAAGGAATCCCCCGATACCTGGCATAGCAATAAGACTAACTTGGGGGTAAAGGGGGTGAACAAGGCTTGGTTGGCTTGGTTGAGTCAATATGTGCCTCCCGATTGGTAACTGAATTGGCACTTGTATCAACATTCTCATGACTCTTGGCCACCATGATTGGGTTGGCCACTTTGGAATGACTAACAATCCTGTGGCCTTGTCTGACTGAATTTTTTGCAATACTTTGGGTAGGATGCTAAAGGGTGGAAAAGCATAAAATGAATATGTTGACCATGATATGCTAAAGGCGTTGATGGCACATGCCTCTGGGTCTGGTTTGAATGCAACAAACGGTTTCAGTTTGTAATTAAGCCTAGAAGCAAACAGATCTATATTTGGTGTAACGCGGGCTTTCTCTACTGCCCGAGCAAAACAACTAGGATCTAGGGCCCATTCACTTGAACCCAGAGCTTGTCTGGACTCTTTGTCAGCCAGTGTGTTAGATACACCTGGTATATGTGCAGCAGAGAGCCAAATGCCATTGCTTACACACCAGTCCCGGACTAATCTACCAGCCGAGTTGCAAGCTTTGGAGTGACTGGTACCCATGTGATTAATGGTAGCTACTGCAGTAGTGTTGTCAATGAACACACGGACATGCTTGTCTTTTACATAATTATGAAAGGCTTTTAGTGCCATAAGAACTGCTAGTATTTCTAAATAGTTGATATGGTAAAGCGACTCAGCTGGGGTCCACTGGCCCCCTGTGCTCAAGTCACCCAGGACACCACCCCAACCAGTGGTTGAGGCATCAGTATAAATAACAATTTCATACTCGCTGTGTTGCACGACATTAAATGCACTCGGGAGAGAAACTGCCCACCAATGTAGGTCTTCAATAGAAGACGAAGATAAGGTCATAGAACTATTAAAATTCCCTTTACTCTTCTTTAGGGCTTCATTTTTATCCATGTCAATGCTGCGATAATGCAGTGGGCCGTACATAACAGCAGGAAAGCTTGCTGTCATCATGCCAACAAGTGATGCAATTTCTTGAACAGTAGACTTGGGTTTTTTAAGTATGTCAACACAAAGCTTAATTAATCTGTCTGTTTTCTCTGGAGTTAAATATATTTTCATCTCTTTCGAATCCAGAATAAACCCAAGATATGTTAATCGTTGAGTTGGGATCAGAACAGATTTCTCAGGGTGAGTGATTAAACCTAGGGAATCAAACATATGCACAGTGACTTTGACATTTGCAACACAATCAGCAAAGTCATCACCCTGTAGGTAGGAATCATCAATATACCCGGATGATTCATATCCCTGTTGTCTTAGGTTTGCATAAACAGGTTTCAACAGTTTAGTGAACATACGGGGGCAACATGCAAGTCCATTAGGGAAACATACAAATTTGTATAGTTGCCCATCCCAAATAAACTTTAAGTATTTTTGATCAGTAGATGCGATAGGTACGGAATAGTACGCATCTTTGAAATCCACTGAAGCCATAAAGCAAAGTGGTTTCATCATACTAATAGCAGATGCTAAAGTGTCCATTTTAAAATGATGATAGGCCACATGTTCATTAAATTGTTTAAGGTTTAAAATCATGCGATACGACCCATCTTTTTTAGGAATAATAAAGATGGGTGAAATATATTCCCCAGGTTCAGTAACACTGGGTACAATGACACCTTTAGCAAGTAGGCTTTTTATTTCAGAATCAATGACCAGCCTTTCTTTGCTACTAAACAATTTTTTCTGTTGGCATTTAACCTGAAAAGGGGTTGACGAGAGTTCTATGTGTGCCCCTGTCACCATATCTAAAATAAATTCATCCGATGTTAACAATTTCCATTGTTCAACATAAGATGACAATCTACCAGCTTGAAAATTAGAAACTTTATTTTTAAGATATTCTAAAAGGTCAGGTATAAAGGAAACATAATCCTGTACCTGTACTGTAGTAAGTTTGTTTAAGATTTGTTCTTTCTCCATTGCTTTTGTCTGTACGGGGGCCGGTCCTGCCTGCTCCCTCGCCCCCCCAAAAAAGGACCCTTGGGTTTATTTTTCCAGGGCTCTTTGCCTTTTGCAGGCGGTTTTGGGGATTCTGAAGCCATAGTGTTACCAATCTTGCTTGAGGCTTTTATGTTGTTCAGTTGAGACTGAAGCACATCACCAAACAGGAACTCTGTAACTGGGCCCTGTGGTGAACAAAGTGTGGCATACTCTTTGTTTAAGAATGGTTTAATAGCTTGTCGCCGGTGCATGGACAATTGATGAGTGGCATGACCAAGCAATGCCACAGCATCAGCATTCATAGTCAACAGCTTTCCCAAATCAGGACCAGTTGTACTTGTGCCTGAGGGAGTTGTTAGCAATATTTCAGCTAACTGTGTTAAAGCTGTTCCAGCTTTTACAATGACCCTTTGGATGCTGGCCATGTGAAGGTCTTGTCTTGAAGCTGGGCGGTTTAATTTCATCCATATTTCAGGATTAACCTTTGGTACTGCGAGCTTAGCGCAGTTATCTGGACGCAAGTACTGCCCCAGTTTTTCTTTTAGTTTCTCTTCACCTAAGGGCGCCGAAAAACGTTTATTTACGATCTCAGCAAGCTTCTCGGTGACGGCACCTGAAGTATTTTCATCCTCGTCAAAGTCACTCGCAATTTGACTGAGCAAATTCGAGGGTTCGACCGTCGATGTGGTCGTTTCATCTTTTGGCGCCATAATTGCTCGGAGTTCTGATGAATCGCTGTGTGAGGAATGATCGCTTTCATCGCCTGTGTGCTGGTCGTCATCAATAGTTGGATCGTTATTCGTTTTTTGTTTCTTTTTTGTCTGACTACTGCTGTTAGATTCATCACGAGATCTCTTCAGAGAAGATCCCAACAAAGCAAAAGAAGATGCCACGGCGGCCATGTTTTCGTTCATAGAGTTCATCATTTTCGCGAGCCCTTGCATCGTTATTTCTGGCGAGTCAGCATCGCCATCATCATCTTCCCCCAGCAAAACAGTCTCTTCTGCAACGGAAATATCGCCAGTCTGAGCAGTTTCAGAGTATTTTTCGCTATTTTCTGCCATAATAAAACTTTTTGAAGAACCTTACTCCTCGAAGGAAAGTACGCTATGAACCTCGTGGATCGCGCGCGCTCTCACGTGACTCCTTAGCGACTGAGACCAATGATGAAGTAGAATTGGATGTCGCACACATGCCATCCATTTTTTCACCAACGGGCCCAATCACAGTCCAACCCAAATTGTATCTGATTTCCACAGGATTCCTTTCTTCTCCAGATCGATATTCCAAAGTGCAAAAACATGGAAGGGTTCTCTTGAAGTCCAATGACCAACATAACATCTCTAATTTCCAACTCTTGTAATGGCAGATCACGTAAATGAGACCAACTTCGAACGTCTCCTTTCCTTGCAATGCAGGCTTCCGAGATCGGCATTTGATTGACAGTTCTAACGTTTGACAACTCGATCAGTGTCTCACCATCCAGTGAGGCCACCTCAATGTCTATCAATTCACTTCTTACTTTGGTCGATCCGGTCATGCCTGACAATGTGAAGTCCAGCTTCCTTCCACTTGCTGCAAGTTGTTTCTTCAAACGTTCATGGCAAAGCGTAACTTCAGATCCACTGTCTAAGAGTGCATAAGCAGTCTAATGGCGGGTTGATTACTTCCCTTTGCTCGTACTTTAAGAGGAACAACACTTAAGCACACTCGTTTGCCGGCCCCAGTTGCGACTGTTACTTTCACTTCTTGTTCTCTTGTTCCGCTAGTTGTTTCAGTTGGGTCTGGAGGTTTCTGGTCTTCCTTTGCTTCCTTAACAGCAGCTTCAGGTTGCGGTGGGTGTAACAATGTGTTATGTCCTTTACTGCATCCTTCTACCAGACATTTAAAATGAATTTTAGGACATTTTCTTGCGTAATGGCCTTCACTGAGACACTTACGACAAAGTTCTCGTTGTTGCACAACTTTCTTCTTCTCTTGATAGGAAAGTTTCTTGAACTTATCGCATCTCCAAATTCTATGGTTGCCAGAACACATCGTGCATCGTAGAGAATTCCCGCTTCCGTCCTTATTACTCTGTCGATTATCCACTCCGGATGAAAATAAAGATGATCTTCGGGAGGGTTCTCTCGATCCATCTTTTCTCCTCACACTTTCCTTCGGTTTAACAAGACTCGCACAAAGATCTTCCCCAAACTCATTGTTCACAAGCGTTGCTCTTTTCTTCACGAAGTGGAGGAAATCTTTAAACTTGGGTCTAGAGCCAGATTCAATCGTCGTACCGGCACGCTCTGTCCATTTTACTCGCAGGAATAATGGCAGCTTCCGAGTTAACTCTCGCAAGGTGTTGACGTGATTCTACGTTCTATCTGCAACCTCTAAGTGCCTGGAAAACTCCAGCAAACTTGCTCTATTGGCTTGTTTCAATGGTGGTAAGTTCTGCAACTTATTAATATGTGCTCGTGCGATTATGTGCGGTTTTCCAAAGTTCTCATACAGCGTTTTCTTTGCAGTTGTATATCCTTCTTCAGCTGGTAAGTTTACACAACTTTCAATTGCATCACGGGCTTTATTATTGCAGTGTTGAATCAAGAGTTGCAATCGAGTGGAATTATCAGAGTTGTCCTTTTCTAGGCGTGTTTCAAAATTATGCATGAAGGAAGCATAATTTATTGCATCACCATCAAAGTGCATGTACTTAATTTTTGGCATAGACACGACTTGTCGCAGTGCTCTCGCCATCTCTTCCCCTGTATCTATCTCTTTAACTGCGGGTTGCTGGACCTTCCCTTCGGGTAAATATGTCCTAGGAATCTGCGATAAAGGTATATTAGGTGACTGTAGGGGTTGTTCGTGCTGAATATACGTCTGGGTGGGTTGCAATGGCATATTACACTGCTCGACTTGCCTTTTGGGTGAATATGTCTCAGAAACTTGTCGTGAAGGGATATTAATTGACTGTACCGGTTGTTCTTGTTGAGGGTATGTCTGTGTCAGTTGCAATGGCACATTGTACTGTTCAGCATGCCTTTCGGGTGAATATACCTTAGAAACTTGGGGTGAAGATATATTAGTCCCTTGTACTATTTGCTCTTGTGGTACATATGGTTGTGAAAGGGGTGATAGTCCTTGCCCTTGTTGATTCATTGAGAGTGTGTTTTTGTTAACATTTTCATGCTCAGAATTGTTATCTGATTCTTTCTCATAAACATTCAAACTTACGATTGCTCGTTCCTCTTCCATTCGGGCTTCCATATATTCTTTCTCGAAATTCAACTCTGTCATTCTTCGTTCGAGTTCGTGCTGTTTCAGTAGTTGGCTTCTCTTCAACTGAGCGAGCGCTAACTGTTCTTTCCTTTTTGACACAGTTGAAAATTTTGAACTGTGACTTGACTTACTTGCCAAAGTTCGCCTTGATTTTCCCGAGAATGAACTAGCATCTTCTCCCTTTTGTTTTGACGCTAGCATTAGTCTCCTTCGTAAAGACATCACCATTTCATCCAAATGCATTTTTTTGGTCATCAGTTCTTTATAACTTCGACTTGCAATATCCTTTTCCTCTTTGCTCACGAGTAACTCCATGTATTGTTCGTGTTTGCTGACAAATTCTCTCCAACATTCATCATAATGCTCTTTCTTTGCCTTGATATTATCCACTGGTTCACCAGCATAAATTGCCTCCTGTATCCATCCTTTCGTCTCTGTGAGGGTGTTCATTAAGTGTATACGAGTCTTAAACAAAGCATTTATCTTCTCCTTTTCCATTTCTTCTTTTTCTAACCGAACGTCTCTCCATGTTCCTTCAAGGCATCCTTGTCCAGGCTCGGACCTGGCTGGGTTATCCTCAGTTGGTTCCCTATCAAGTGCTGTTGGCCACGATCGCACAGACATTACTGTTGATCATCCAGTATGAGTTATAACACAAATGTATCCAGAAAATATATGTTCCTGAATAAATTAAGAACTTCTTTTCCCCGTCCCTGACAATAAATATAGTCCAAACTCACCGTCCTTGACAAAATATACACTCCAATATTCTGTTCAAACAAGAATACCCTGTATAATACAAATACACTGTCCCAGACGATATAAATTATCCTTCAAGTGAAATATAGACCTTCAGGTGAAATTTAATCCAAAATACTCGTTCCTAACGAGAAGATATATGTCTTTGATGATCAATATACTTTACAATAACCAGATCGCCGGTGAGTAAGTATAGTCAGATATAACCGTTCTAACGATAAAATATAGTTCCAAGGCACCGTCCCTGACGATAAAATATACTTGAATATAAACCAGATCTCGAAGTGAAATATAATCCAAAATAACTCGTTCCTGATGAGAAAACACAGTTCAAATGCACCGTCCCTGACGATATAAATATACTTTTAAATAAACCAGATCTTGAAGTGAAATATAATCCAAAATATAAACCCGTTCCTAACGAGAAAACACAGTTCAAATGCACCGTCCCTGACGATAAAGTATACTTGAATATAAACCAGATCTCGAAGTGAAATATAATCCAAAATAACCCGTTCCTAACGAGAAAACACAGTTCAAATGCACCGTCCCTGACGATAAAGTATACTTGAATATAAACCAGATCTTGAAGTGAAATATAATCCCAAAATAACCCGTTCCTAACGAGAAAATACAGTTCAAATGCACCGTCCCTGACGATATAAATATACTTGAAATACACCGTCTTTGTCGAGAAAATATACTCAAACTAACCCGTTCCTAACGAGAAGATACCGTATAATTCAAATTCTCCGACTCTGACGATCAATACACACTTAAACTTTCCAGAAATACAATCCAATAAACTTGTACTTGCCACAAATGTACACTCCAAAT